AGAGGCAGGAGAATCACTTGAGCCCAGGAGTTGGAGGTTGCTGTGAGCTGTGATGCCACAGCACTCTACCCAGGGTGACAGCTTGAGGCGCTATCTCCAAAAAAAAAAAAAAGATGATTGGATCATGAAGGCTCTGCCTTTAGGAATGGATCAATCTATTCATGTATTGCTAAGTTAATAGGCTGATGGATTAATGGGCCATCACAGGAGTGGAACTAGTGGCTATATAAGAAGAGAGATCCCTGAGCTGGCACATGAGCAGGGTCAGCCCCACCAGGTGCCACCTCGGGGCTCTTCACAGTTCCCACCAGCAAGAAACCTCTCCCCACATGTGGTCCCTTGACTTGGACTTCTCAGTCTCTAGAACTGTAAGAAATAAATTCCTTTTCTTTATAAATTACCCAGTTTCTGGTATTCTGTTATAAGCAACAGAAGAACCAGCCAGAACAGTATCTTTCATATCCCTTATGACAAAGCGGTAGTTCGTTTCTGCCCAAACCTTTTATCAGTTTCCTTAAGGATCTATCTCTCTTTTTTAAACATTTTTAAATATTTTATGCATGCAAATGAATTTATACCATGTGTGCGTGTATGTGTGATCAGCTGCCGTCTACTCACTGGAAGTAAATCATCTCCAGTTCCACTGGGGCACCTATGTGCCCCCCCAACACCTCCTTCTTTCTCCTCCCCATAGGTAACCACCTTATTAATTATCTGTTTATGGCTATATAACAAACCACCACAAAACTTAATGGCTTAATAAAACAGTCATTGTTTAGTCCCCAATTCCATAGGTCACAACTTAGGCTAGACTCATTGGTCAGTTCTTCTACTGGTCTTGCCTGGGCTCTCACCTGTGCCTGCAGGCAGCTTGCAGGTCAGGTAGGCCTTGTGATTCTCAGATGGCCTCACTCATACCTGGTAGTCAGCAAGCTATGGGCAAGGGCACCTGGGTTCTCCACAGGGCCTCTCCTGCGGTCTGGTTCAGGCTTCCTCAAGTGGCAGTCTGAGGGCTCCTAGCAGCATGAGAAGCCAGCCCGGTGCACAAATGCTTTTCAGGCTCCTGCTAATGTCCCAGTGGGCAAAGCACATCCATGTTCACCCCATATTCAAGCAATGAAAAGATAGACACCCATCTTCTGATGGAGTCTCTACCAAATAAAGCCAATTGTTTTTTCAGTTTTACCATATTGTTTCCCTAAATTCATCATTCCTTCACTTCCCTTTAAGAACTAAATTTGTATGACTCTAAATTGTGTGTTATTTAGCTGTGCATATTTGGGAAACCTGTAAATAGAACCTTATCAGTACATTCTCTTTTTTTTTACCTGTTCACTCCGTAACTGCCAAGCAACATTGTTCATGAGAGCCAGGGTGCTGATGTGCATCTCAGTTCCTTTATTTTGTTGTTGTAGGAATGCATTGCATTCCATTGTATCATATACCACAGTTATTACCCATCCTCTTGCTAATGGATATTTGGATTGTTCCTAATTTTTTGCTACTATGAATAATCTCCTCATATCTCTTGATTTCCCTGAGTTTCCCCAGAATATATGCCTAGAAGAGGATAGCAAAACTTAGAAGCTCTTAAAGTAGGAGCCTGTGTGTCTTCTGTCCTATAGGCCTATAAAGCACCAGGAGGAAGCCATCTGTGCAGTGGCCCCAGTTCCAGCCCTACCTGGCATGGTAGGTTCCCTGTGCCTTTCAGTCCTCTTCTGTGCCTGGGTTCTTCATCTTTCCTTCAAAAAGTATTTGTTAAAAGAAGTCAGAGCAGCTGCCAGACGTGGGGCCATATGCTCAGCAGAAGAGTGAGGACTTGTTGGATGGGGCTTAAGACAAAGAGGTCAGCAGGGAACAACATGTTCAGAGGAAGGATGGAGAAGGAGGGCTGTCAGGAGATGGCCTCACAGAGAGGGTGGGAGGAATGCAGGCCTGAGAGAAAGTCCCTGACTCCCGATGTGCCCTGTAGAAGGTGAAGGGCCTCTAGGATCCCCAGGGTACAGATTCCATGCTCAGCACCAGCCAGAGGGAGTGGTGACAGTGGAAGCTGTGGGTTCCAGCAGGTTCTCCAAGTCAAAGACAAGAGGCTTCTGCAGGTGCCATCATCATTTACAGGCCAGTGACTACAGGGACTCCAAGGAAAACCACAGAGCGGGTCCTGTAGGCTCAGAAAGGGAGGGTGAGGTAGAGGACAGTGTCCAGGCTGCAAGTGGGGGGACAGACAGGTGGGGGTATGATAAGCCTCTTATGTGAGGAAGGGCAAAGTGGTATGGCAGCAGGAGGACACAGGGCCAAAGGGGACTTACGAAGGAGGGAGGGAGTACAGTGTGTTCCCCATAGAGAGGAAAGAGTGCAGGGAGGAGAGAGCTGGGACCACGGGCCAAGAGCGGCCCTGGATTGAGCAGGGTCCCCTAGGTGGTGAGAAGGAAGGGCATCAGGAAAGGGGAGGGACTGAGTCTTGGCCATGTGGAGGCTGAGCTCTTCACTGGAGAGGCTAGAAGGACTAGGAAGAGAAGCCAGGCGGAAAAGGGGAAGCTCAGGAAGGCCTGTTTGCTGAGGGCAGCCCCCAACACCTTTGTGTCTGCAGCTCCCACAGCTCTGGATGGATCCAGAGGCCGGGTGCCAAGAGCCCGATCAATTCTGTTTCCTTATTTTAGGTCCAGCTATTTCTCTGATTCCTTACACTCCACCTTCTTGTAAGGGATGGAGTCCAGTGGAAGGCCACACTCACCAGCTGTCTGCTTCCCAGGTGCTGACCTTTTCTAACAATGGCTCTGTGTGCCTCATGGATGTGGCCAAGTCTGCAGTCATCTGTGCCTTTGCTCCCCCCATATCCTCCTATCTGGAGGTCCCCTGGAAGCCGATGTTTGTGGTATCTTCACACCACCCATGTTTCCTGCTCAGAGGTACAGAGGGGGACTGTGAGGGCTGATGCCCAGACCCAGAGCCTGCTGACCATTTCCCTGTCTTAGTCCTCTCACAAAGCTGAGATTAATTCCACCAATACCCTCCCACTCTGTGTCCCTTTCCACTAAGGCCAAGGGATACTGCAGCTCCATCCTCACAGCATACTTTAATAAAATGCCAGCAAGGTCTCCTATTCAAACTCCTGCCCCTCCCAGCCCAGCATAGATGGCCCAGCTGTTACAGCTGGAGAGCAGCTCCCATGTCTACACGTGGCACAGAGCCCATCAAGAACACAGTCACTATGCAGAACACTATTCTTCTTTCTTACAGATGACTATCCTCATGAAACTGGATCCACCAATAATGCTAGAATCCAAAATTCTATTTTCTATTTTAATTTTGAGGCATACCCACTCCTGGAAAAAATCTCAAAAAATTGTACCATTCCTCAAAGGAACTTGATGGATAACATAGCCTTCCCCCAGGCATTGCCCTTGGAGACAAGATGCGAACGTTTCCTCCAGAAGAGGTAAGAATTCTGTTTGTACCCTCCTGCATCCTGGGCTATCTCTGCACAGAGGGCCAGTGCCGTTTGTTCTATAGGAAGATCCTTTCAGTATTTAAATTCCTGCTAAGTGATTTAAATGTCCTGCTACCACATTCTAGCCCACCAACCACACTCTGGTTCAAGTTCAGACTGAGAGAAAGGAGTAATTAATTCAGGCTGGTAGCAAAGAAGGGCTTGCAGGTGGTGTTTTCTTCCCGTCAAGACCATCTTATCTTTCTGCTTTCTTTCTTAATTCCTTTTTTTTTTTTTTTGAAAGAAGTTTGGATTATTTGACACAATCATTAAAACAGGGGTTGGCAAACATGTGGCCCACTCCCTGGTTTTATAAATAAGATTTTTGGGAGGAGGACAGATTCTCATTTTGTTGTCCTCAGTTGAGTGCTGTGGTATCACAGCTCACAGTAACCTCCAACTCTTAAGCTTAAAATTCTTGGGCTTAAGCGATTCTCTTGCCTCAGCCTCCCAAGTAGCCGGGACTACAGGCACCTGCCGCAACGCCCGGCTATTTTCTTATTGCAGTTGTTTTAGCTGGTCTGGGCCAGATTCAAACCCACCACCCTCAGTGTATGTGGCTGGTGCCATAACCACTGTGCTACGGGTGCTGAGCCTATAAATAAGCTTTTATTTAAACACAGTCATACCCATTTGTTTACGTGTTATATGTGGCTGCTTGGGTACCATGTGTCAGGGTCAAAGAGTTCCTTGCAAAGGGCAGACAGAGTTTAAATTGTTTATACTCTGTCCCTTTACAGAGAATGTTTGCCAACCCTCAGTCTGAGACTGCTTTCCTTTATCCTGCTCCTTCCACTCCCCCCAATCCTTCTAGGCCCATTTGCTTTTTCCCTTCTTCTCTAGAAACATCCTGAACTCCTGGACTCAGTCCATTCCGTAGAAACAGCTGTCTCTTCTAACCCATCTCACAACAAATTCCTGGAGATCTGGAAATTCTTATCAATAATTTCCCTGTGATCTAATCACACATTTGGGGCAGAATGGGGTCATCAGGGGAGCCCTGCATCCTAGACCCAGGCCTGCTCTACAAAGCTAGGTGACTTTGGCAGGTCCCTTTCCTTCCAGATCCTTACATAACAGAACCCTGAGATTTTGCCACGTCTTCAGACATGAAACATCCCTTTGTGAGCATCCCCCTTCTCCACTTAGACTCTTCCTTGGGGAGGAGTAAGTAGAGTGGTTGAGGCATGCAGGTCTGGAGCCAGTTAGACCGGGCTTTTGTCCCCACACTTTCCCTGACTGTGGGATGTAGGGTGAGCTGCTCTCAGAGACTCCATTTCCTCATTCATTCAAAATATATGTAACTTCCCCCAAGGTGTGCCCAGCTGTGTTCTGGACATTTTAATGATGCCTGGTTTTTAGGGCTTGCTGTATAAAGTGAGATAACCCCTGTAAAGTGCCAGGCATCGGGTGGTTGCTCAACAAAAGATAAGAATGATGAAAACAGCACACTGTACCCCGTGATTGCATTAATGTACATAGTTATGCTATAAGAAATAAAAAAATAGGGGTGGCACTTGTGGCTCAAAGGAGTAGTGCGCTGGCCCCATATGCCGAAGGTGGCAGGTTCAAACCCAGCCCTGGCCAAAAACTGCAAAAAAAGAAAAAATATATAGTGAAAAAAAGAATGAGAAGGATGGAGCACCCTCTCCCTGTTAATCCAGGCCTGGGAAAGTCCCCTGTGCCCACCAGGTGGCACTGCAGTCCTCTCTGCTTTCTCTCTTTTCTCTCCGCACATTCTGGTCCTTCTGGAGTCCTGGAGATGGCTGTCAGAGGGAAGGTGTGCTTTCATCAGGGAGAGGAATGTGGTCTCAGAGTCCTGGGGGAGAGGGACAACAAAGAAAGGGTCAGTTGATGTTGTCCCTAACTAAAAATTTACCGTTTCTCATTCTGACCCCTGAAGACTTGCTCTGAGAAGCTGCAGCTGAAGAATCAGGTCTACAACTTACTGTCACGTGGTCTAGGGAAGAATTTATAGAAGAGACAGAGAGGGAGATAAAATGTTAACAACTAGCAAATCTAGGTGAAGGTTCATTGTACCACTTGCAGCTTTTTTATAGGTTTAAGAGTTTTCAAAATTAAAAGGTAGGGAGAGGTTAGTAAATATTTACAGTATAATCCTGACTTTGAGTAAAAGAGGAAGAAGACTGGGAACATGTTCATCAATAGTAATACCAGTCATGCTCAGTAATAGAGGTATGTGTGGTTTTCTCCTTGTGTTTTCCCTGTTTGCAACTTTTTAACAACAACAACAACAAAATGCTGTTTTGGCAAATAGATACAAAATAATAGTGCAAAACCAAGTCAAAGGATCTTCCCATCACAGCCTCTCAGAGTGCTAGGATTACAGATGTGAGCCACCACACCCAGCCTGCCCTAAACATTTTAATCATCTTTTTTTTTTTTCTGTTTACTCCTGTGTCTGAAATATTCAGTTTCCACTGGCCCTAAAACTAGGTGCAACTTTAAATCAATTCATGTGTCAAAAGATTCAAAGTTTCAAACTTTCAATAGTCTGTCCAAACTGTTTTCACAAAACCCACACTGGGACTTATGTCAATAGCCAGTATGAAACTGAGCCTTCCTTTAGGGCTTCAGAAGGAAGCCAGTCAGCACCAAATGTGCCACCTGCCTGGGGCCTGACTTCTGCTCCCTCCAGTCCAGGGCACAGGCTCGGCTTCTTGTCTGTCTTATTGTCCAATGTCTCTGGTTGCATCAAACTTTTGATCACAAGACAGAATGTTCAGGACACCAAGAAACAAAAGTAAAGATTTTTCCCCATATCCCCCATGGAAAGCCATGCAGAGACAGGCTCTGCCCTCCCAGCTTTCTGACAAGAGTTGGGCTTTGGGATGACCCAGCAGTCTGAGATCCGCACAGCACCTGGCTCCCCTGGTAAGGGTTAGGAAGGCTTCTGTGGATGCCAGGTGACATTTTCCTCAACATCAGAGGCAGGTGAGGAATGGTATTCTGGCCCCTTCATCATCCCCATCCTAACTTTCCTTTCTTGAACAAAAGGATGAATCTCTCCTCAAATTTTAGCTTCTTAGGCCCCAGATGTGCACACTCAGGCTGTTTGAATTCATAGCTTTTGTACAGGGACTGACAGACAGATGCTCCAGCTTCTCCCACTTTGTAATAAGTACCTTGCTTCAGGACCATAGGAGACAGTGCTGTACCAGCTGGTGCAGGGAAAACCTCTGTTTGCTGATGGTAAAGAAGTGGTGTCTCAGGGTTCCCAGAAAAAGCCCTTGCCAGTCAGGTTGGGCCTCAGACGAGCCAGCCACCCTCCCATTCCTTCCTCACAGTGCACTGTCCTGAGCACTGCACAGGAAGCCACACTCTAGACATGGGTGGTGCTGGCAGGGGCCCTGCCCAGCTTTCATCAGTCTCCTCCACATGGCCATCTCCCCCTCACCTCTGCCTGCTCGACCTCTACACCCCAGGGCACTCCCATCCCTTGGCTGCCCTCTCCCTTTTACCAGGTCACCTCACACCCTCACACCTGACTTGCCTCCTGACTCAGAGAAAACACATAGGAGGCTAATACTGACCCCTTCCCCTAGACGCTAAGCCCTTGCTTCCTTAGGCCATCTGCTCTTTGCTCTGGCTGGCAGCGCCTTCTGATGGCTTGTCCAATGTCACCAGGTCCCCTCAATAGCAAAAAAGCTCTGCAGCCACAGCTGTAGCTGGCTCAAGGAAACACAGGGCACACACCACCTCTGCATCGCCTCCACCCACCCCAGGCTCCCTGGAGCTCTGTGCTTACAGCCACTGGGCAAAGTTCACTGAAGTTCACTGCAGGCAAGTTCTTATGGTGGACTTCCCCATCTTGGGACAGGCGCATCGGGCACTGAGGGCTCACACACCTCAGGAGGCTGTCCCTCACCCTCCTGCCCCAGCCTCACCGCTTCCTGTACCAGCCACAAGGCAGGGACGAAAAAACAGAGGTCAGTATTATTTTAATTTGGAAATTAAGGAGGTTGAGCATCTTTTTGCCATGTATATTATAAATTCCTCTCTCTGCTCTGTGACTTGCCCTGGGTCTTCTTCCTATGGATGTGCTCATTTTCTTTCATATTTAAGTTGTCAGTTTGCTACAGATAATTTTGCTTGGTTTGTCTTTGGATGGAAGTTGTTCTGGTCACTTGTTTAGCTACCATAATTTTTCAGCGTCGGGGAGCTCTAGGGAGGCTGCAGTGGGAAGGCAGGGTGTGGCTCTGCTACCCTCTCACCATGGGACTAGGGAAAACCTTGGTAACCTTTGTAAAATGAGCAACAGTCATTTGTCCTCAAAGGACATCGCTTGGCACATGGCACATAGCCCCTATTTGTCACCAGGTGCCTGAGTCAGCTCTTCTGCCCGCTGACCATACATTGTGCAATCACTGTGCTGTCTTTGAGCACAATGATGGTTCCATTTCTAGGCTCCTTTTTAACACTTATTCTTGGCCCATCTACTCAGCTGCCTCCTGTGTGGTCACTCATGGATGCCATGTCGTTCTGACCCTTTGACCCAGCAATTCCACTTCATTTCACTAGCAACAGCAGCCTAACAACTACCAGCTATGATCACCTATGCCAGACCAACACTGCAGACACAATCTTACTTATTAATGTGATTATCCCTGATGCACAGTGAGAGGGGGAGGCTTACCAAGGTCAGGCCACCCATCCAACGTTGCCAGCTTGTTAGGGAGGGACAAGCACAACACAAGCAGCCTGGTGGACAGCACGTATGTCTACCTGCACACCCAGTCCGCAGTCACCACTGCTGCCTCCAACCCATAGGCAAAGATGCCATGGGGCCAAGACCTGAAGTGCTACTCTGGTTGCCCTAGCAAAAGACAGTAAATCCTGAGTGACATCAGTGGAGAAAAGAATGACGCAGGTCCACAGGCACTGCCCAGAGAGATTTCTAGGACTGGTCTGGGGTGGAAGGACCAGGTGCACAGCAGCACATCGGCCCTCCATTCACCTTCTCAGAAAGAGGCCATGCACATATATGCTGCAGGCGCAGGTGTCAGAGAACACACAAAGGCTGTGATTATCACACACTGCTGTGGGGACAGAAAATAAGGATGTGAGATAAGACGGGGATTTAATTATGTGTGTTGATTTTATTTCAAAGAAGTAGTATATAGATTACTTTTTATGTTAAAAATGTTTATCTCTTACTGGTTTTGTAAATAAAGTTTTATTGGAACATAAAAAAAAATGTTTATCTCCCCACAGATGTCCCACCTGCAGAGACTCAAAAACAAATCAAAACTACCATCATCTTTCTCCCCAAAAGTGTCCCTTTTCCTATTTGCCCTGAGTGTGTTACATCCTTCCTCACTCTAGTACCCAAGGCAAAAACTTGGCTGCCAGCCTGCACCTTCTTCCCATGCCCCACCATGTACCCAAGACAACGCCTGGCAGTCCCTCCCCTGTATCACATGTCACTTATTATTTTCTAAAACAACAACTTTACCTTTTTAAAGACTCAGTTCAGATGTCCTTAGAAAAGTGGAATCATACAGCGTCTTTTTGTGACTGGCATATTTCACTCAGCATATCCTCAAGGCTTGTCACACTGTGCGTGTGTCGGAGCTTCTCTCTCCTGTGTGACGCTGAGCATGCTGTCATAGTGCATACCACACTTGGTTCACAAATGGGCTTCTAGCTCTTCAGTCACTATCCTGTCCATAGCAGACACCTGTGGGTTGGAACCCACATCTGTCATTGCTTAGTAAAGGCTCTCTGAGCACCTGCTGTGTACCATGCTGTGTCCTGAGGACACAGAGGTGAAGCAAGTGTGTCACCTTAGAGGCCTGCCCTGGGGCCTGGAGCCAGAGAAGGCCCTCTCACCCTGGGTATGTATCCTCAGCTTTCAGCAGCTGGAGAAGAACCAGGTGAAGGAGCAGGATCACTGGAGCCGGCTTCGGAAGTACTCCTTGCTTCTCCACAAGGAGAACTTCAAGAAGTGAGGCTGCCACCACCCTGGGGCTCTCTGAAAAGGTTTCAGCCATTAGGCAGCTGGTCCCCGGATGCCCAGCCGCCAAGAGACACACAAAGGACCACAGCTCCAGGGGCCCAGACTTGCAGTACGGAACCTGTGCAGAACCAGCGAGAGAGGACCTTCAACCCGTGCTTCACCCTTCCCTTGGGGAACTTTCAACCACTAAGCCGCTTGTCAGAGCTGTCAGGTGGGTATACGTACCACCCAAATAAACAGTGACTCTGATCCCAGACTCCTAAGTTGCTGTAGTGTGTAACTCATCATCCCCACCCAGCCAAGACCTCAGCAGGGCCTGCAGAGCCACAGTTCTCAAGCCAGACACCCAGCCCAACAGCAGTGTGGCTGCTTGTGCTTGCCACTCATGCCTCCATCTCTCTGCTGGGGTGGTGGGATTATAGCCTGAGGCCATAGGAATGAGGCAGGGTTGGGAGTGCGGTGATAGACAGGACTGGGTGGCTGCTGGCCTGAGAGCACCAGAGAAGGCTGGGGTACCCAAAGGCCCAGGAGAAGGCAGAGCAACCCCAGCAACTCCAAGGACATGTCTACTTCCCAAGGACATCGTATGACTCCTTAGAGGACTGGGGGCTTAACTTCCCAGACTCCAGGGTGACAAGCTGCTCAGGAAGGCTAACTATGGGGTTTGCGCAGCTGCTGCTTTTATGTCCCCACTTTCCTCCTCCCCTGGGCCACACACACTCCTCATTGGACAACACCTCCCTTATGGCACTCATACTGTCTGGATGTTCCTTGGGATGAAGGGGTCCCTGCCTCAGACACTGTGCCCACTCCCCATACCACCACGGGAATGGGCATACAGTGGCATTCTTTTCCTCTACACAGCAGACACAATGAAGCTCTTTTGAGATCAGGGAGGCGAATTTGGGAAGAGTGGCTTGGCCTTACACACAACCAACATCTGTATGTGGTTTGTGTATTTTACATTAAAACCTTAAGTGCCCTTGTGAAACACTGATGTTATCATTGTCCCCATTTTACAGGGAGGGAGATTGAGGCTCAGGCCATGTAACTGAGAACTGCCTGCATCATGTCCTGATGGGCTTTTCAGCAGCAGCTGCCTATACCCAACTCAAACTACCTTTAGCAAAAGAGGACTTGTTGGCTCAGACAACTTAGACATCCAGGAGCAATACTGGCTCCAGGTACTGAAATGCTGCCCAGTTCTGCTTCCATCTCCCAGTTCTAACCCCCTTTCAGGCAGACCCTCTGCTGGGGCATAGTAACTGTCCTTTATCAATGGTCCCAGCAAAGCCTGGGCCTACTCCTCACTGGCCTGAGTGATGTAGTCTTGTTCCCGATGGTGCAGGCCTTTGCCTATCCCTGGAAAGGGTGAGAGTCACACTCCCAGCTAAGAATAGATTAGATGAGGGAAGAGTCATCTGAGGGAAGGAGAGTGACAGGCCTGGGAGGTAAGAAGCCAGGAAAGGTGCTGAGCAGACACAAGCAACAGAGGCCAGCTCCTTCTGGACAAAGCCAGCAAGGAGAAGCCAGCTCCATGCTTTCCAAAGTCATGTGCTGCAAGCACTAGGCCACCATCTTATTTCTTAAAAGTGTAAGGAAGGAGCAAGGGGAAGATGGGTGCTGAGGCATCCCAAGGAGTCAGGAGAAAGGAGGTGGCTCTGGCAGCATCCACATGAGACTAGGGGGGTTCCCAACTAGGAGGCTGTGCTGCCCAGGCTCTAGCCACCTGGGGCCAGTGCACCACCAGGCTGAGCAGGCCATAACAGTGACTCCAAAAGAGGTCCTTGCCCCTTGGGTGATAGAGTTCCTTG